GTAACCTAAAAACCAAGAAATCAACACAAGTTTCCTATTCTGAGCTCTGACTTAAACCTTTAGTGTTGCTAGATTAGAGCCAAACTACTCAGTTTCTTCCTAAAAAATCCACTTGTCAATGCACAGACGTAAGACATAAGCCTTTGTTCATGTTTTTACTCCCAGGCTTACTCCCAGGCTCAGTTATATATATTCAGCTCTGTAGATGTGTACATGATCATGCTGTACAACTGAAATCTGCTATTTTTATCTGCTGCTCTTTCACTATTGTACATGTGTTGAATGATTACTGCTGTACTATTATGAGATTGAATGACTACTCCTTCCTTTATCAAACTGGAGACATCAATTTTTTTGATGTTCCAAGATTCTGCAAGATATTTTTGCATAACTACTTACAGAAAATTTTTAGGTAGGCACATTGGGGTTTAGCAACCCATACCCCCAGTGCCCGATTTGTGTGGAAGCAGAGCTCTCCAGGGAAGATGTGATAGCACAACACTGTGCGACCTGAGGGTTTACTCTGTGCAGAAGTTGGAAATCCATGGTGGAACTAAGAAGGAAGCAGTAATAAACATATCTGTTGCAGCTGGCAGTAGCTGAATATGAGGCTAAAGGTCAGTAGCACTTCAGCAGACATGATCATTGTTAATTATGGGGCACTTGTAAGTGCAGGCTGTCTCCATATAGTAAGACAGAGAGAGGAATTGTGGTGGAAAATAAGGAGAGGCACAGCGCTTATTCCCTGAAAGCTAGGGATCTACATGCCAAAACAATCATTTGGAAGAACACAGATCTTACTTTAAACATGCTGTAACTAGATGAAAAAAGTCTTGATTGTATTAATTTGTTACAGAAGTTAAACCAGAGGGCTTTAATTTACTACCTGAAGGTTTAGTTTAATACCCAAAGATTTAGTTTTATAGCCAGTATCAATGTCTCTGTAACTAGAAGTCTGCATAAGAAATCAAACATATTTGTAGCAAAACATACAGCAAACTCGGTGATCTTTGCTGTCAAATAGACATCTGGAATCTATTCTGAACCTAACTTCATTCTGTGACATGGGTGTATGCCAGAAAAAAAGAAAATTAAGGAATTTGGTAAGCAGATTTTGGCAGAGGATAGTGGGGAGAAACATAATGAAAACGTTTTGACAAAAACTCTTACTTCGGAGATATTACCAGGAGTGGAGAAAGTATGTTAAAGGAAAATCTGCACAATACTGAAGGAAAAAATAAGCTACTCTGAAATGCAACTGAATGTAAACAAAACAGTCAGAAAGGTTTGGGTACTGGGCAAAGATGTAAACAATACCAAAACAATAAGGGACATAGAGAAGACACAATAGCAAAGAGACAGCAGAAAGGTAAATGATCTATTCTAAAGGAAAAGAAAATTAGGTTACCTTTTGATCATTTTTCTGGTATACCAGATGGAAGGATAAAATTTCTTCCCATTAGATTTGTATTTACGGTTCAAGTCCTGACCTGTTAAAGAGCAGCGGTGATTTCCCACAATCACACCATCTGGATTCAACATGGGTACTAGTTTGAAGACAAAATTGTCCCGCAGGAGTTGAGCTTTGTCTGAATCACCAAGAATATAATCCAGAAACCCCTTCATTATCCAGGAACTGTTAGTTTCTCCTGGATGCACCCTTGCAGTTAGTATCACAGCCTTCCTCTCAGTGTCCTTGTCACTTTTAGGTGGGTTGGTGATAGTTAAAGCATACACTGTGTTTCCTGCCAGCGAACGGCACAAGATGTGAATCTTGCAGAATCTGGATTTCACTGGATCTTTAGAGATGGCCACCAGGTACTCCTGCAGGTTGGAGTAGGTGTAAGGATAGCAGTGGGCAAAGTAGCAGGTGTCTTGGTCATAAGGGAACTGGAACGTCCAAGTGAGTGAGAAATACTGACGTCCATCTTGGCCCACATTGGTTTTGTAATACTTGATATCATTTCCAGTCCTTCGCCAGCCAACCTTGTGTTCCTTAGCATCAGCTTCTGAGTACAACAGTGGCCGCAAGCCACATTTATACAGGCTGTTCCGCTTGGTAAAGTTGACAATAGTGAAGCGATATGGCATCCCTGCCTTTGTATTGCTTACTTGGAAGTAGTACCACTGTGTGTGTCTGCTTGTGTAGAGGTCAGTGCGCAGGGTCAGCTGGTACTCAAATTCATTGCTGGTGGGCAGAAAGAAGACAATGAGTTGTGATGCTGGTTAGTACTGTAGCATGATGCAGTGTCAAATAATGTGGACTGCCACGAAAAAGCACTCTGCAGTGAATCAGGTGTTAATCAAATTTACACTGTCATGAATCAAATAGGCTATGTAGCTGCCAGGAAAAGATGCCTAATTGCACCAAGTGTGTCAATAATGCAACTGCTGTCTCCACTAGGACTTTTAATAATAATTAGGACTCCTAAAAATGTTCTCTACACTACGCTTTAAGAGGAGGTGCTTAAGAAAAGGTGTTGAGTTTGTGTGGGTGATTATCACCTACAGAAAACATTCAGCGCTATGGAATGGCTATCAGACCATTTCAAGTGAAGGCTACCTGAAACTACTTTTGAAGCTTATTTACCTAATGTAGAACAATTTACAAGCCCAGAGTAACACATCCTGCTCAGACACTGATAGCAGTCTGCTGATAATAACAACACTGATAATAACTCCACTGTAATGAAGGAAAAAAAAAA